AGTGGGTGGAGGGTGCTTCTCAGCTAGAGTGGGGGTGGGGTCGCTATAGTGGCTAGGGTGAGTCTTCCTACACAGCTGGACGCTCGGTTCTAGACAAAGAGGGGTTACCACCACATCATTTCCCGATAGACTTGAGGTTCTTCATAGGCAGGCGGGGTAGAAAATCTTCTCTCAAAAAGAGAGAGACATGAGATTACAGAGGAAGGTATTCGGTTCAAAAAAGATACGGCAGTCAGAACAACTTCAATCCAAAATTGACCAAGGACAGAAGCAAGCTACAAGCCTTAGCAACTGCTTTCCTGTGGACCTTATGTAAAAAAAAAGCAGCGAAGAAAACAAGACACTAAGTTGTTGCGCTAACTCGCTAGCGTTAGCGCACTACGGCTTTTCAGCCTCCTGCAGGTCCCTTCATTCCCTCCGCCTTACACGGACTTAAAAGAGTACCTAAGGTGGATTAGTGGTTTATTTTCAAAAAAAAAAGGGATTTTATTTACCGTAGCTTTTAGACAGCTAACAGCTAAGCCACTAATCATACAGCTACACTACTGAGATAGCTCATAAAAGTCGTTTCAGGTTCAAGGGCTAAAGCTTCTCTTAGGAGAATCCCTTCTCTACACTCGACTTAAGGGCACCTACGAACTCACTCATAAGGAAACTCATCAAGTAGGTCTTTCGAGTCTTTCAAGTACTGGCGAAGCTTTAATTGAAGACCTTTCAGTGCCCTTTCGTTTGGTCCCCTGGGTACCTTCTCCGCACTTACAAGTAAGCATTTCAAGTAGATAAGATCATAAAAGAAGAAATGGGAAGGAGTACTGCCATTATGCGCTATTATTTGAATCTAAAAGTCAATCATTCCCAGCTTTGATATAAAGGTATGGGGGAGATCAAAAGGGAGTATGTTAGTCAAATAGAGGGCTCTCACGGGGTGTAGTCCACGGCATTAGCCTTAAGCTAGTTTGGGTTGTAGTTCTTTTATTGGGCGAACCCAAGCGTTAAATAGCGTCGTTTAGTGGCGTGCAGGGAGTAGTCGTCTTGTTGTTGGTAGGTGCGACTATGTGAGTTGAGAACAATACACCGCGGTATGTGTGAGTCAAGATTTTACTTAGTGATCCGAATGAGCAATTTGAATTACTGCAGACTGGTTTCCTCCCATATACCTCCGCTGATGCCTATTTCCTACCATTGAAGAAAATAGAGAAAACTGTTAATTCCACCCACGTCGTAAACGGATGCCCTACCTGATCCATTTCAAATCCAGCCGGAGGTCTTCGAGTCTTGTTACGGACTAAAGTCCTAAAGAAAAGCGACCCCAATCCCTCCCCAGCCCAGGTCAAAGGTCTTCCCGCCCTTTTTGGGGCAGAGTCAAGTTTGTTACGGTCAGCAAATCAGCCCCGCATCGTATCGATAGCGATTCAAATCACCTCCCCAAGCCTGCCTAACCTAATTGTGTGTGAGCAATCAATCGTGACAAGTCGACCGATCCATAATGAAAGCACTTGTAGATAGAAGTCATTTGTCGATCGGTGGACTCATCTTCAATGCCGTTTAGGCTCTCCAGTTAAGTCGGTTGTCCGCCGCCTTTCTTTCCCATGCCCGAGATGGCCTTATGGGTAGCAGCTCTATGATCTGAAATGAGTGCGGAAATGTCCCTTTAAGAAAAGGATCTATACAGAAAAAGAGCTCAGAGGTTTAGTCAGCTATTGTCCTATTTTCTTTTTTCTTCTCGATGAGAGGCTTCCCCAACAACACTGGCAACCTCCATGGTCTTTCCCAATCCAATCTTTTTCTATTACTGACACCTGGAGCCAGCAACAATTTCTAAAGCAAATCTCGAACCTAATTCCTAAGGTCACATACCTGTCGCATAAAAAGAAAATGCATAAATGCATATATAGTTGAAATCTCCAATAGGGCAGGCATTAATATGAAAAGGTTGACTTTCCAGCTGGGACATCATCCACAGCGTCATCTTCCTTTAGTTTAGGAAGTAGATCAAGGGGCCCACCCGGTCATCATGGAGAAAACTACCACTCTTTCAATTGGTGTCTAACCATTTTCTTCTCACTAGGGCCGGGGTTGGTCTTTCTAATCAATCAGAAAATGAACCGGTGTGAAGATCTTGAAAGCAAGAGTGAGTTTGCCTTCGTGGAAAAGAGCCTCTTCGTTGCAAGCGAATATTATCCAACCTGCAGTCAGCTATGATATACTTAAATCTTTTCACCTCCCTCTTCGATCGATCTGGAAGACGTTCCCTTAGCAGTTGACATCTCAACAGAGTCCTTCGGTCGAGTTGGAAAACAACCTTTGAGACCTACGAGCTCCTAAATCAAAGAAAGAAATAGATAGACTTAGACGAGGGCATCTTAAACCCCTTTCCCTACGGTCGAGTTAGCCCATGACCTCAAGATCAAGAAGAGCCAGCCATACATAGAAGACAAGGGAAGACCTTGCTCGACCAAATGAACGTAGCAGCAGGGATATTTAGAGATGGGAGCATGAGCGAATGAAAGGAATCCAAGTGGTGATTCATGTCTTCGAATGTCCCGGGTTCTATATCATCATAATAGGTGTGGATGGGCTGATCAGAGTAGTTATTTCTCGCTTGATGTCCCAAAGAGCCTATAGAAGGTGAGCCCCAGTAGTGTTTAGAATACTGAAATAGATCTCGGTGGGCTTGGGAACTCAATAGAAATAGCTCTTTATGAAATATCTAGGTCGTTAGGTCTAGGTATGGTTCTACCTGCATGCCATAGATTATGAGTCAAGGTTGTTCTGGGTACATTTTTCTAAGTATCCTATAAGGAGAATGTTGTGGGTTTGGGGGAACGGGAGAAAAAAACCTCATTTTTCTAATCGGACAAAAGAGTGGAAATCCCTGCTGCAGCAGGAGGAAGCAATTGATCGCATTCTCAGTCTCTCTTCCCGAAAGACATTCTTTTTTGAAACTAAACCCCTCCGGCCCGTGAAAATTAGAGAACTCTAGATTCATTAGTACCAGTTTTAAGGGACTGCTAAGAGGTATGCCAACTCGTTGGATGAGTAGTTCTTCCCATTCCAATCGAGTATGTCCACCACCATAAATGCCAGAATTGGGTCGATGACCTGATTCTGGCAGATGTAAAGATGGCTAGAGAGGACACGGGAAAGGTAGCAAGGACTGAAGCAGCCACACCAGCATCTATCTGAGAAAGCAGTAATAGAGCACGCAACGAAAAAGGCAAGAGGAGCGTCCAGTCGAATCAGTTTCTTATTTTTCTGAAATTGACTTGGCCGGTTGTTGCTCCAACACTTGGGTATTAGCAGCCGTTTTCAGCTGTTGTTCCCCTCCCAAGAGCGGGTTCAGTTTACCGAGTTGTCCGAGCTCGAGTCAGGATACTATACTGCCTTTGAAAAGCAACATGTCACGTGGAAAACTGAAAGTAAAATGTTACCAAAAAAAAGAAAAAAGTCATTCTTTTTAAAACAGACTAAAAAGGAAAGAAGGTCATTCTTTTTTAAACGGAGGAAGTAATAAAAAAAGGTAACAGAGCATTTATTTTAATCAGTTTTGAAAGTGAGGGCTCGTTACCATTTCAGGTGATGTCGCCGATAGTGTTGGCTTACTTCGTTGTTGGGTGTTGATTCGCTTTGGTTTGTGGTCAGATCTGATTCGCTACTTTGAGCTCATCGGTTCGCCGTAGTTCGTGGCTTCTTGTTGTTGGTATGTTGGAGAAGAAGAGGGAAAGAAATGAGTTGTTTGGTTGTTGTTTGTTGTGGTTTCACCGGAGCGAAGTGGGGATGAAGGATTGTTTGATGGTTGTTTCAGTGTGGTTCTCTAGCGGTGGATGGTGGTGGCAGTTTGAGATAAATAGGAGAGAAGGATTAGGGTTTTACCCAATTTAGAAATTAGTCCTTTCAAACATAATGATCCACCACCCCCTTATTTTGAGACCAAGTAAAGGATTATATAGATAATTTAAAACTACCTTTTCTATAAAAATCATGTGCCTAAAATTATGGACTAATTAATAAAATATCTGTTATGGAATCCTTTATTTGTATTTCAATACATTTCTAGAATGTGCTGAAAATATTAAAACTAAAGCAAGTGAATATGACGTTAAAGCATGAACATTAGACAAAATAAAAAAAATAATCTTTGGCTAGGAAGCACGCATGTCAACCAACACATGTGTGCTTCTAGCCTCTTATACATAGTATACTAAATATGTGATTTGTACTTAGCACAGACCCAATAATATTATTTATCTTATCTTAATTTATGTGATACAAATAAGAAGTGTCAGTCAAATTTTGATGTGTTTTTAAATATCTTAAATTTTTAATAATGTGATTTATTATACTTTTATGGGATTTTCACATAATGTGCAACTCTCCATGTCTCAACTTATGTGTCATTGACAAAATTTTGGACTCAACCATTTATTTATCTTTTAAAGAAATTCAGCTATAAATTATTGTAATTAGAATATTTTTTTATGTAATTTTCATATAATATATGGTGCTCCCTTTGTACTTTTATGTTCTTTATGTTATTCTTAAATAATAGTACATGTTTCTTCGTCTGTCCCATCCATGTGGAATCAATAAAAATTTTAGATTCAACCAAATTTTTTACATGTTTTTAAAACATTTAAATTATTAATTGTTGCTATTTAAAATATTTTATGCAATTTTTAAATACGTAAAAGACAATATACCACAAACAATTTAAAACAAATAAATTCCACAAAAATTACTTAACTACTCTTAAAGTACCAAAGCAGGAATGTTAATTTGCTGTCTGCTATGGTACTTGAAACTGTCTTTGTGATGACAAGCAATCATGACGATGAAAGAGAGAGGTGAAGTACCTCACATGTCTCTTATTTTCAAATGATACATGTTATTTTCTCTATCCCATTTTATATTTATATGATATCGATAAAATTTCTTAGTCGATCAATGTTAACCTTCTTATGTAAACAACAGTCATCAGAATATATATACAATCATACATATACAGTATAGGTTTGCCTTGACCATTATCATGATTACACCAAGAACCGTTTTGCTTACAAAATGCAAGTCTTTATGCAAATAACACAAAATTCAATCCTCAAGAATCTAATCTACCAAGTAGAAAAAAATCAACAGATAATTACCACACAAGCTGAATGAACAACTTGAAAATTACAAACAAGGGGCGAGGGATCGTATGTATAAATACAAATACTTATGCTGGATTCTGGAGATTTCAAGCTTCTATGAATCTAGGAGTTGCATCTCATTCTTACAAATACCCCTCTATTAACTATAGTGTTTTAACTTCTGCACACTTACCCCTTAAATCGGACAACGATGCATGAGATATCATCTTTACTTTCTCTAGTTAACGCTTCGATGGCTAATTGCTTGGATGCCTTCTGTGGGTCCTTAACCTTCTTCGCGATGTCAACTGCCTCTTGATTAGACATTACCTGAAGAATCACCAATTATCAATTAAAGAAAGAAGAGAGCAAGTGCACACTGTGCAATAATGGAAAGACAGCAACTGAATGTTGGAGCAAAGGGCACCTTCCATAGGCCATCACTTGCAAGGATGAGAAGATCTGTGTCTCCATCAACATCGATGGTTCTTACATCAGGATCAGAGCGCAGGTGTGATTTCAGGTTCTTGTCTCCAAAAGCGCGAGATACAGCTAGTTGACCATTCACTCTAGCAACATCTCCTGAGATAATATGCATTTTAATAGGCATGTATAAACAAACTCCAAATACAGTAATATTACGAGGCACTTCACGCCTAGATCACATCTGCATAGTCTGGCACCCTGAGGACAGCAGCGTAAATTCTAAATCTACATAAGAATAGGTTTATTTGGTGCAAGAAGACCCTCAAATTCTTGCATGGAAAAAGATTCTTCTATATAACTTTTTCCCCATCAAATTTAATTTTTTGTCTAAATAAATGAAGGTTGGTTCCATGGTGAGGTACGAATAGCCAACAACAGATCTAACAGAGGCACCTTATACATAAAATGTTGGACCGCCAATCAACAAAAATCTAAAGAGTGTCTATATAATTGTTAACTCAGAGATTAATAAAAATATCATGAACTAGCACATCTTAACAGCATGTTGTTAATAAGGCTGTCAACTCCTACTAAATTAAGAATGACATGAAAACATGTGCTTGTGAGGATTTGATGCAAAAAAATCATTTTATCCTGGTTAAACTCATAAAACAATCACATCAATAATTAACACAACAGTGTTCCAAGTTCCCCAATACTACTAGTTCCTACTGCTTCTAGACACTGCAAGTGGAGTCCATCCAACAAGATAACTTGACCTAACTAGGAGTTTCATCAATGGGCTCGTAACCGTAGTATCAGTTGTAAGCGAACCAAGCTTGTTATAAACAACAATCCAAATTTGTTAAGCCCAAAATCAATCACATTGTGGATCAAACAGATGGTAACAACACATAAATCCTAGCTTTTCAAAAATAGAGAGAACTGAGAAGGCACCGAAGAGGTGTGCCTTTTCTCTAGGCTAGCTGCAAAGGGGGGAGGGGGGGGGTCTTGATGACTGAGAACTTGAGGAAGAGGAAGATTGCATATCAGTTGATTTTTCATGTTTACACCATGAGATAGCGTCTGGCTTGTGGGAAGAAATTATGAGATGGTTTGGACTTCAGTTGTGATGTCAAACACTGTAAAAGAAACAATGGTTAGTTGGATATATAGAAGAAGAAAGAGAAGATGCACGACACAGGATGTTGCTCCGCTAGCACTTATGTGGACCATATGGAAAGAGAGGAATAGGAGAGTTTTTGATGGGGTAGAGAAGGACTACACAATTAAGGCATGTCCTCTTATCCTTTATTGCTTTTGGTGCACTCGTGAGGTTCCTGTATGTATAGAAGATTGGGCATTGTTTGTAGGAAACCACATCTCTTTGTAAGGCTTTTTATTTTTGGTATACTACTTGTCTATGGATGTTTTTTGTCCATGATGTATAAGTTTTTTAGTTTTTTGAAATTAAACAAAAAATGCTTGCTTGTCCACAATTTGAGATCAGAAAAAGCTCTACTTACAACAAAAATTTCGAGTTGGTTATATGAATCCTCATTGGTCATGTTGCTTTATTTAAACTCATATCAGACCAACATTAAACAAAATAAGTTCTAAAAGTTCTCTACATTTTCTAACTATATATAAATCTCTGGCAGCTAAAGGACTCCTAAAATTATAGGACCAAACAAGTAAATGATTAAAGCATAACCCCAACTAAAAATCCTTACAAGTTCTACAAAGTTAAACACTTCTCTTTTCCATAAGATACAATTACACCAAGTAAATACAACAATAAAGATGTATTAGACTCTTTGTCCACTGCCCCCAGAGATGTGGAACAAATCATCACATCATATAGTCAGGTGAAAGAAGTTGAACTAAATCTCACAAGATCTATTAGAATCAGAACATATAATATACTGAATAACGGGTCACTTACCAACAGACAATAAAATAGTGCCTTTTCCATTGTAGATGATAATGGAAGAAGGGAATATGATGTAAGATGAGAAAATGATGGAATGAACAAAATGTGGTACTTAAATTATTATGTCACTTATTTAAATGGTCATCCAATTAATGGGGGAAAAAAGCAATATTATTAGGTGAAAGAAAATACTCATCAAGTAAATATTATTCACTTGGCACACAGATATTTAAGAAACAAAGGAAGACTTTGCAAGAGTTCGTAAGTTGGATGACCATTAGAGAAATACGAAAGTTTAATGGGTGACATGGATGCCACATCATCTTTCCGGCACCGGAAGATGATTTTTCTGGATGAAATGAATTCCTATGAAGGTCGGTTAAGTTGAAGGAATTCGAAAGTGACTTGGATGACCATTTAAGTAATTAACTCGCAATTGTTCATGTCTTCCGTTCTCAATTTGGTTAGAAGATAAACTAAACAGAGGAGAAACTAATAACAGAACTACTACATAAATAGTAATAAGCCATCGCATGTGGATAAGCACCTGGCATTTTTGTGACAAAGCCACCTTTGTTCTCAATGCTTCCCCGCTCTGTGTGTGGTTCATGATCAATGCTCATTTGTATCGCCTTCCCCCTCTTTGAAAGCACTGCTCTGGAATCTCCAACATTTGCTATCCATAACTTTCGCCCATTTATAAGTATTGCAGTCACTGCAGTCGACCCTCCTTGTCCTAGATCAGGAGTATGTGAGAGAATAGCCTGATCTGTTCTCTCATAAGCTTGTAAGATTGAGTTCAGAGGGTCGGTCCAAAATTCCTCCTGGGAAATTCAAATCTACATGGTAAGAGTAACTAAAAGCAACACCACCCCCATCCCAAAATAACTACATGCAGATGAAAAAGAAACAAAATTGTCCAAGATTAGGTACATCATGCATTTGATATTAAATGGACTTCCCAAGATTGGTTAATGTATGTGCATTAGGATTTGGCACTCCAAGACAATTGTTATATCCTTTCAAAAGATCAGAAGCTTGCTATGGACATTATTTGGACTTGGTAATTGGGTCTTATACCCGTATAGCTGATTCAATCAACACCTCTTCTATCACAGTCGGTGATCTCTAAAAAGTATTAGAGCGTCTCTTTTTAGAGACTAACGGAACACCCATTTGGAATGACAAGTCTGACCCAATGCTCAGCTAAAGCACCAGTAGCATTGCATGACCAAACCAACATCTGCCAGGTTACAAAGAGGAGGATGGAAGAGCATGACAATCTTTCCCAAAGATATGATTCAATAAAATGGAGGCCGGGTAAATATTTTTTTCCATCAAATAAAGGCTCGATAGAAGAAACAGAAAACCCAAGAATCTGTCATAAGCAGTTAAATGTGCTGTGATTGGTCCAAAGGGTGGCGGGTCACAGACAGATTTCTTGGTTATCTAAAAAAAAAAAAACAGTTAAATGTGCTGAGAAATTTTCCAAATCCACAAATCACCTCCTTTAAGATATTGGAGAACAAATGCTTCTGTAAATAGGTAGCCACATCGTCTCCTGAATGCCCATCATAAATAGCAAAAAGTCCTAGTTCCCCTTTGCGCAACTGCATGAATTTAGCAACATGATAATCCTCCATTGGATGATTTGCTTTCCCCTTAACCAGGGTGAACCCATACTTGGCAGGCCCTTGATGGCTTCTGCCTTTGCCACCTGATGACCGTCCTCCTGCAAGCTAATGGATAAAAGAAACTTTAACTGAGGTTGATATATATCTATACAAAGTACTGGTCAGTGCCAGAAACCAAGAACTGAGACCAAAATAACAAAAAAGATAAAGTTTTATAGAAAAACAGATATCCTATTGATATTAAGTCAACAATTTCAAAAACCATGCATTCAAATTCCAAGAAAGAACCAACAGAATCTAATATAAGATACACTATGTATGAAACATCAGCAGCATCTCTGCAAGGAAGGGAATGTAAAGGATAATAAACAATACAATCTTGAATAAAAATGATATCCTCCCTCCGCCATTTTGTATGATTATCGTTTTGAGACTAATTTCAATTTACCCAATAGTTTTGAGAACTTATTTAGACTAAAGACTACATTATTAACTTTAATTATAATAAAGGTTATTTTACAAGTTGTTCATTAGAAAATTTAAACCAGACTAAAATCATATGATTTACCTCAAAAAGACGGGTTCTGTCCTATAAATTTAGAAACAGTGAGCAGGATGCCACTCTTATCTTCATTAGAAATGTCAGGGATTCATTGTAGATCAATATATACTGACACACAATTTCATGGAGTGAGTGTTGTTAACAAAATATATATGCAAGCAGGAGCCAATCAGGGTTAAAGCTAGAAATTTTAGAGGTTAGGTCAGGAGGCAATGAAGAAGGGAAAACCACCTGCTTAAGATCTAAAGTTTTAAAGGAAATATATGTCAAAGTTGGGCGAACCAACATCTGCTTGATCCTAACATGGCTTGGTTCCCACAGCAAACATCTTAAGGTAGAAAACAATTTGAAAGAGAACAACCTTAAACCAAATTACTCCATCCTATAATTCTCGGGATCCGGAATCATTACAACAAAGTAATCCATTATAGCAACAATGTATAGCAGGAGATCACCCTAGACTATAGAAACCAAATGAAAGCAGTAGCTTTCGCCGAGTACAAATATTGATTGCATCAAATAATCATCATTGCTACTGTCCCCATTCTAAGGTAAAAACAAATATAATCCTTGATAAATCTTGTTTTCTCTTATTTTTGATAACCTTGGTGCCCGGACCAGTTCATGTGCACCTCAACCACCTCCCACCAACAATAGGTATCAGTTAACTCTGTCCAACAACGCTAGAACAAATTGGGGAAAAATCATCTAGTGTTTTAGTCTCTGGTAGGATTTGAGCTTGAAACCTCGTGATGTTCAACCCACTTAATTGACCACTAGCACCGCACCCTTGGGTGCAAGCTTCGATAATGATCTTTGATAAATCTTGTTATTCCTCAAAGACAAAACAATCAACCCACATAATTAAGCTAAGCCATAAAAAAAAATCAAAATTTACTAGTCAAATCATAAAAAAAACATCATGAAAAGATGTCAACAACAGGATCATTGAAAAGTAGGCATGAAAGTGAACAGGAGAAGAAATAGTGATTAAGGGCTGACCTGAGAATTGGCAGAACTGAAGCAGCATAAGTTATCCATAAAAAGTAAGTACTCCTCTAGTAATTAACATCAATTTTAGATAATCCTTAAATCCCTAAAACTGACAACCTGCCTGTACCAAAAGCATCAAACAGAGAATCTTGATCATCATCAAAACAATCAATTTTACAAATTCATCAAAAAAAAAAAAAGGTATTTGAGAAGAATCGACTTACAGTATTACCAAAGTGTTCAATGATATGAGGATAAATATGGGTATGCCTACCAGTTGACTTTTCTGTTGATTAAATAGACAAAGTGTTTATAAAAGTTTCTATGGAGGTTGTGTTTTCGTCGTTGAAGAACAAGGTCTTCGATTCCCTTGGGTTTGGGTATGGCTTTCCCAAATTTGACTTTGTCTTCTATCTCTATTGTTTTTTTCCCGGTTTCCATCCGAATCTATATTAGAGCTTTGATTAAATTCAAATTGTGCACTATACAGTTCATTTGGAAATGATGTTCCCAATAAATTTTTCTCCCTACTCAAGCTTGAATCAAACCTCAACTGAATGAAATAGTCTCACCACTACACCATAGTAAAATTTGGAATTAGTAATGGGTAGGTTTATAAATTATATTAATTAATTAAATTATAATGAATAGTTGAGCGGTCTCGTATTTAAAAAATATATTTAAATAGTTTATATTTAAAACTGTTAAATAAGTGGTCAATATTGAACCCAAAGGTGGATAACAAGGGTATTTTGAAGTCAATAGATGGATAAAGGGTAATTTTGTATCATTTCTAATATTTCGAGGATATTTTAAACCCTTTTCCGTTGCTGTTTTAATGTAATGTAATGTAATATTACATCCGCTAGCAACACACTACTTGTCATATACGCTTTTCATTTGGTCCTACGTACTTCAACCATCATGATTATTTTTTAAAATTTTTATTTAAGAACACCTAAAACTTTTTTTTTTGTTTTACTTTTTTTTTAGTTTCACTATATTTTTCTCTTTCAAACTTTATTCTATATTTTTAAACATAAAAATGACTCCATTTAAATTATAGGGGAAAAGTACATCAAACAACCATATATTATTTACAAAAATTGTAATCAAACACAAATCTAACTATAAAAAAATAAAAATATATTTATAATAGTATGTAATAGCTCGTATATGAGGTTTAATTTATGACAGTATGTGACTATCGTTTTGAGACATTACCCTTTTAGAGTAAATTTGATTGTATATTTCAAGCAAATTAGAGTTAAGTCTAAATTATATTTAGAAAAAATACATTCAAATACTAAAATATTATTTGTAAAAAATTTGATCAAACACAACTTCTAACTTCATTTTCAAAATTTCAAAGAAAATTAAAAATAGTTGTTTTTCATGACCAAATTCCCATTTCATTCTTTTAATTCATACGTATAATTAATTCTTTATAATCATCTGATTTTCGTAATCCACTATATCAACTAATTCAGCATGCGCTATCGTCATGTGATTGGGGATTTAAATTTAAGTTTTTATTTGAAATCAACATTAAGACATTTGAATTAAATTTCAAATCTCCTAAAATTAGGATTTCAATTTTAAATTTGTGATTTTATTATTTAAAAATAAATAAAATTTGACCCATAAGTTTATATTTTGTAGAAAAATATATAATTTTTAATTTTACAAAAAAAAAAAGACTCATGCTCGATGTGAAGAAATTATTTATTTCATATGAGAAAATTATATTAAAAAATAACTAATTATTATGATTTTTGATTTATTGAATTAGTGAATCTTGTAAAATTCTATATATTTAAAATTTTATAATAGCATGTACTTGCAAGCAGGGGTGGACCCACGTGGTATCCAGGGGTTCACCCGAACCCCCTAGGCAAAAAATTACACGATATATATAAGGTAAATTTTCTATATTTTTGTAGATATATATATTTTGAACCCCCTCAATAACAAAGAGAAACTGATGGCGTAGTGGCAAGTACCCTTGAAATTAAGTTGTACGTCACTAGTTTGAATCCCTGTGAAAGCGTTTAATTTTATTTTTTTCAGTTTCAATTTATTTTAGTTTTTTTTTTATAATTTTCAGTTCTTTTTTTCAAGTTTTGTTTAGTTTTTTTTTTACTTTAAAAAATGTGCTAGAAGTTTGGTTTTAAACTCAAAAGAATTGAAGATTTCCATTTCTAACGGCTTATTTACACATTTATACTTTTATTTTTCGAACCCCCTGAACAAAAATCTTGGATCCGCCACTGCTTGCAAGCATTTATTTATAAAATGAATATGGAGATATGTAATTTATTAATGTCATGTCTTAAGATATTTTAATAACTTATTTAAGAATTATAAGTTTCTCATTTGGAAAGATGGCACAAGAGTTAGATAAATTTTGATAATTTTCACAGTTTATGAAATTTTCATGTTTATGATAAAAAGTATAACTTTTGAATTCTAAATTGCATATCCAAATAAATTTCAACCAAACGGGCCCTTAATTTCGTTTTAATTCCAAGGGACAAATTCAAAATCTTCTAGTTAACCATAGACTACTCCCATATTATAACAAAACAAGTGATTATGAGATTGTTTGATAACAATTACAATTAAAATAAATGGAGAGGTCATTTTGTAGCATTTTAACTAATAATGATATTGAGTTGAGCTAAAAATGATTTTGATGATTAACAATTAACATTGAAGAACAAGGTTCCTTTAATTATATGTTGTCGATAGTTGCAATAAATTCTTAATTTTTGAGCAATTTTTTTATGGAAGGATAGACTTCATGGGCTAGAACCTAGAAGCATTGTATTAGGAGGAAATTACACGGTTAAGCAAACTTATACTACCTAATTACTCATCATAGTTATAGTTTGCTATAATTACCACTCACGACTAACATTATACATTAATTACGCGGGTTGACTTCGAGTTTGTATAATTAGTCATGTTTGTATATGTATAATTCGTCAGAATATACAAATATATATGTATAATATACAATTATCTAACCTATGTCACGCCCCGTTTTTCGCAAAACGGGTTTTGATGCACGACCTAACAACTCTTTTGGGCTTTTGGAGGATTGAAGAGTCGCCACCTAACGAATTAAGGTGCGTTAGGGCACCTATCTAACCTAGCTAAATCTAACTAAGGTCAACGAACCAGAGATCAGGGTAAGGGTTCAAATTACCTCAAGGGGAAGGTGTTAGTCATCCCTAGAGGTCCACAAATGTGGGTCCCATGCAATTTGTGTGGAGGTTACAAGTAGCAATTAAGGTCACTTCATTTATTGATTATTTATTAAACATGATTACTAGGTGATAACTAATATTAAACAATTAAAATCAATTTAATTAATTAAGCATGCGAAAACTAGGTGATAACAATATTAAGCAATTAAAATCAATTTAATTATTTATTTAATTAATAAAGCATGCGAAAACTAGGTGATAACAATATTAAGCATTTAAATGCACTTTAATTATTTTAGTTAATTAGATAGGCATGCGAGACTAAATGATAACATAATAAATAAATATTACACAATAAATAAAGAGATGAGCGAGAGGATAGAAATTTGCACAATTAGATAGAATAAACACTTTTTATTCTTATTAAGCTACCCCAAATAATTATAACAAGTAAAGGGAGAAAAGGAAAGGGGGACTTTGAAGGACTTTAGGATCAGCACTCGACTTTTCTTTATTTCGGTCGGTTTCTTGTAGGGACAGACAAAACCAAAGTTTGTCATTTAGACCGAATCGATGTCATCATCTCCATAGGCCTAAACTACCCCTACCCCACCACCGCATGCTTTTCGTCTCTAAAAGGTGTCTAGCGTCCCCACGTAAGGTCCAAGAGGCATTGAACTGCTATTAGGGTGAATTTAGACAAAATAAAAATATAATAGTCCCTCCTAGACACCAAGTCAAACAATTTGGACAAGCATTTAGCACGCAGGGTCTCATATTGGCCTCTAGATTTTAATTTAAACATGCTAGCAAACACACATAAAGTGAAAGGTTTCATGCTTAGGTGTGTGAACATACAAACATACACATCAAGACAACAAAATGAGTTAAGCAAGTTAGATTATTGACGGACAGCTCTAAAAGCATGCAGATAATTGTTTAACTAATTTAGTGATAGCAACAAATTATTACAGACGGCAGATTTTAAAGGGGAAAATTAATGACATAATAAATTTATTTGTGAACTGATTTTAGAAGGTGGCACAAAAGTTATCACATATCCAAGAAATATTTTAGTAGCAGTAGCAGTCGAATTGTTTATTTTAAATTGCAGTCAATTTATTAAATGTAGAAATTAATTAATAGCTTTATTTTAAATGGCCAAGCAACATGCAAATAGTGATAATTAGTTGATTAAAAGTGGCAAGAAAATTATACCTAATGCAGAAACTAAAATTATTTCAGGCAGAAATTTATTAGTATAACAAATTTAAAGTGACAGATTATACAGAGAATAGCATGTTAATGCAGCAGAAACTTAGACTATTATGTGAAATTTGTTTTAAGTAGCGGTCAGTGTACAAATGCAAAAAATTACCTCAGACAGATTTTATTTCAGATTTAAATTCAGATGATTTATTATGCTGGTTCTCTTAAATATGCAGAAAGCAGTCATATAAGTTTATTTTATTTAGTTATGACATGTTGAGAATAGTTAGTTAATTTCATTTTAAATATCACAAATGAATGTAGCACAGAAATGATTAATAATGGGCAAAACGCTACTTACAGATTCATCTTGCATGCTGAAAATTATTTAATAGCTCCTATGAACATGGTTTCTAGATGATTAATATAATAACAAATATAAACTTAAATGATGCTACAATTTATTAGATCCGATTAACATATCAATCTAATTAATCAAGTCCTATAGGCATGATCTCTAAGTGAGCATGCTGAAATTATTATCGGAACTATAGACATAGTTTCTATATAAAGATGTAATAATATTCAAAACCTATAGGCATGATTTTCTAAACCCTGAATAATATGTCAGATAAATCTTATGATCAAGATTTCTAAATAGAACATGCTGAAAAAATACAATAAGATTCAGGAAAACCTATAGGCATAAATTTCTAGTTGTCTGAATTTATTCACATAAAGCAACTGTTGAAATCAAAAAAATGAATGAACTAATTAATTTAACGTGCTAAAAAGTTATTAGACACATAAAACTAAGATCTGTATCAACTACAATTATCAATCTCTTATTAATTCCCGTTAATTAATTAAGAGACTACCAATTGCTATCCCGCAACATACTTAAAGACTGTTCACTACAAATTTGACGATTTAAAACTAAGTACACAAATAAATAGTTGATTTTAAGT